CAAGCTGAAAACCTGTTATTAGTCGACTGATGATATTTATCAGTCGACTGAAGAAATATCCCGCAATCTTAAAAAGTTTCTGTTTTTCTTTTGGTCGACTGATGAGGTCATCAGCATTAGTCGACTGACCATGCTTATCAGTCGACTGATAAACTATCGTTTGCCTACAACGATCAGCTCATCAGTCGACTGACGCAACCCGTTAGTCGACTGATTTGTCCCAACGACTATTTTTCCAGTATTTTGTAGTTTTGTCTTTTTGCTAGATTTTCTTGGGTTTTGAGCTTTGGTTTTTCATCCTATATATACCCCTCACTATTTCAGTTCTAAACAATAATCTAAGAGGGTTTTTAACAAGAGTTTCTAAGAGTTTAAAGTTTGTTTTCTTCTCAAGTTTGAGTTTGGTGTTTGTTTACAAAAGAGGAAGCTTGCATTGTCAAATTGAGGAATTCATCCTCAATCTTCTTCATCCTCTTATTGTGTTTATAGAGAAGTTTTTCTAACTCTTTTATCTAGCAATTTATTTTTTATTTTTATATTCTTATTATTGCTAGTTCATTATTTGAGTTAGATTTTATTTATACTCATTTTATCACACACGCCCTATTTGAGCTTTTAGTATTTCATACATCATATATTGGGTTGTGGGATTGTGATATTGTGAGAGAGAGCTTACATTGTGTTCTCACTTATTGTCGAGAACAAAATCTTGTACTTGAGTATTATTGTGAGTTACACATTGTATTACACTTATACACTGAGAGGAGTGGTTGGTGAGAGACGGGGTCAATTCCAAGAGGAGTGGCGTCGGTTGTAAGGCCTAGAGAGATGTTGTAAATCCGAGTACTTGAGGAAGAGGACAAGGACTGGGCCAACACTTAGAGGGTGTAGAGTGTGATTGCAAGTGTGTAAGTTATAAAATTTTTGATGAACTAGAAAACTGAGTTGTGAGGTGTAAACGTTATTCGGGTGAGCGTAGAAAACTCGATTGTGATAGTGGATTTTTCTCCGGGAGTGAGGAGCGGAGATGTAGGACGGAAGGTCCGAACTTCGTGATCATCTTTGTGTGTTATTGTTTGCATTGGCGTATCACTTGTGTCTATTGCTTAGTCTATTTTATTCGTCATTGCTCATTGTTTACATTGCCCTATCACATTTGTTTTTGCTTATCCTTGCATATATCTCATTGTGTATCTCATTGATAAGATATTGCCCTTTGTTTATATTGTTCATTCTTGCTCATATCATATTGTATATCTATCTTGCAAGAATAATTTGTTAATAAGTTTTAATCGGCATTAATATCTAATAAGATTAGCAATAACCCTATTCACCCTCTTCTAGGGTGTTTTCAGTGTAGTTTTAGGAAAAAAAATTCATAATAAATATTACTTATAACTTTTTTTGAAAAGAACATAACTAATTAAAAATCTATTAAATTTAAAATTTACAAAAAAAACCCTTAAAATATAGTACATTGCAAATTACCCGTCCAAAGTTTGGAATTTTTCAATGATTTTTTTGTAATTCCTTGTTTTCAATATAATGTTTAATAGTTTTGTGTATTTGTAAATTATAAATTTTAGGGTGTTTTTTACACTTTTTAAAACTTTTGATGGTGTTTATTTTATAGTTTTCTAAATTTTCATTGTGTTTTCAGTGTAATGCACATATACATCAATTAATGATGATATTGAATAATAAGTCGTTCTTAAGATTATTACACCATAGTTAACTGTGCGCATCATTATTCCTACGTAGTATAGTTTATATATACAAAAAAATTCAGACAATTTATATAGTGGTTAAAAAGATTTTGACATTAATAAACTATTTTTTGCAAATTATATTTAATGTGAATCCATCGTATAATTTTGACTGTGGTCATCATAATTTTAATACATTTGATTGATTGACTATATACATATATAGACCATATATTACTTTACTTTCTCACATGAGCTAATATTTGATGCTTAATAATTTAAATTATTACTTTTAAATTTAATATAAATAGGAGCTCTAATAATATTTATTTATTTACCTACAACATAATACAATATCTCAATTCCTATTTTTTGCTGGATATTTATTGCATAATTATGCATATCAAATTAGTAACTAAAAAATAATTATTTATGTTTAAATTTGGATGATTGTAGTTGGTCACTCACTATGAAATTTTTATGAAGGTTATACCTTACTTTCTATAGCTATCTGCACTGCCTATGTATATTTTATAAATTAGTTCTTAATTTAACATATTAAATTACTTTTCCTGTGTAGAAATTTATTCCTTGACTTTTATACTATGTAATCACTATATCACCATTTTAGCATAGAAAGGACCTCACTCTAAATAGACTTCAAGTCAATGTTTGAGTTGCACTAAAGTATATACTATTACTACTATGTGTATATATTTTTTAGGAAAATTATGTCGACACTTTTTAAGTAGAAGAGAATATTCTAACCTATGATATTATAAAAACTAAATATGTATATAGCTAATTGAATAATTAGCAAAAGAGAACTTACATCAGAAAAGTGTGAATAATAAGATAAAGAGAAAAGATAATGACATTGCCAATAGTACTACAAATAGCAAACTATAATATAAAGTTAACATATTTTGTGGAGCCCAACTACTGGCTATAAGCATCGAGGTGTCCATATATATACTTTATAATTTATTAAAAATGGTCATATAATCTTATATAATAAAATTGATTTAATATTAAATAGTAATATCGTTGTAATAATATCATTATTAGAAAAAATTCTTATGAATCAATATGTTTTTTACGATATATAAGCTATGCACTCTAAATTTTTGTGTCTTTTATAGAGCCAAAAAGTTTGAATACGAGCCTCTAACATGTTGCTTTCATACAATATAAATCTAATTAGGAGATATGAATATTCCAGATGCATTATGTATCCTATATACAATACAATTGCCCCATACAAGTGAGTTATAATTGTATTTTTTATTCACATTGTTTAGGGTAAGATTTGATAAGGACATTGCATCAAAGAAAAAAAAAATTATATTTAGAGCACATGGTGAAATATATCATAATCTCCATGTTCTAATTTCTTAAGAAAATAAATCTTCATACTTTCAGTTTTACTTCTATGATACAGAGAATGAGCTATAAAATTGAATGAGAATATTTGGTAATATAAATATGAGTGAAATATCAATTAAAAGTTAACGTGAATATGAGTCAAACCACAACTAAAAGTTTAATGGACATATTGCAAGTAAATTCATATGCAAAATTTCTTTGCGAATTGAATGATCACCCATCTTTTGAAGACTTCAAGATACTAATAAATAGAAATGTTGTACTAGATTAATGTGTTTATAACTCATAAATAGTACATCACGTGGCCGCGGTTTGGGTTGAAAGAAACAATAATAATATTTTATTTGAGAGAGAGATTATAGAGTTGATGATCAATCCCACCAAAAAATTTTATTTTTTTATTTTAACTCTATTTTTATTAATTTAAATAATAATGATATTCAACCACGTGCATCGCACGCGCATCTCAACTAGTGAAAGCAAATGAAGGAGAAGTAGTTCACAAATCTTTGTTAAAATGATTAAGAAAAAACAATAACAATCTGATATAACTTATTGAATGTTTACACGCAGCACATGTGAATATTTATAAGCAAAAACATGGAGATACGAAATATTCTTATTTTGGGTAGCATAACTTGAACTTAATTCTGTCTCATGACTCCAACTGTATGTAGCTTCTAATGTTATAGATGTTATAGATGTGGTGTTTGTATTTAACAACATGAGCAGTGATTCAACTATATTAGAGCCAAAACAACTAATTGTGTCATTATAGACGCAAACATACTCGGTGCTCCAATTGAGTACCGGTAGCATATTTTTGTAAGTTGTTTCCAAGAAAATCTCTCTCATATTCATGATTAAAGGGGTGAAGGTGGTAAAGAGATGTTCCCCCACCAAACACCCAATATTAGTATTTTTAATTTATTCAAAGTCAAGTTATTTAATTTAACCTATATAACATCGTACTCTTTATTAGCTTTAAAAATTAAACAATTTAACCTCCAAATTCCTCTCTTTTTCCATTTCAAACTCCACTTTCATTTATATTTTGTGTCTGTAATTCTTTATATTTTCTACAGGGATTTTCCATTAGTTTTTTCCCGCGAGGTAATTTATTTAATATCCACACGGTTGGTGAAGCTGCATATCTGAGAGTGAGAAACAAATTAGAGGATAAATTTAGAGAGACAAAATTACTCTTCCTCCTTTCAGCTTCTATTCGAGATTTAATTAATTTAATAATTCAAAAAATTCTATTATAAGCGCATAGAACCGAAGGCAAAGCTCTTTTAAGTTGCTCAAATGAAACTTTACTAGACTGGCTGCAAATTTTGCTAGAGAAACCTCGGCCAAGACTCTATTTTTCTGAAGGAAAATGATAGAGACACACCCTAAACCACAACTCCAACCACACCACTCTCTCATTTGCTACAATGCACCGGGCCTCACATGGGATTTTAAAATTTTAAAATCCCATGTGAGACCCAGTGTACTGTGCAAATGAGAGAGGGGGTGTGGTTGGAGTTATGGTTGAGGGTGTGCCCCTAGTGCCACCCTTTTATGAACCTCTGCCAAAATTTACAACAAATAACTAATACGCCAGAAATCAAATTAACAGGGTGAGTTTTGCAAAAAACAAGTACAAGGAAATTTTGAGGATCTGTACCCAGCTGTCAGCGAGTTAAAGACGCTTGTTCTCTCCAGAAGTACCATCTTCCCAAAGGTTTTCTTACATTTTCAAATTCTATGTTTGGCATCTCCTGCGGCTAATCCAAAGTCGCAGACAAATAAAAACAAAAAAATAAATAAATAAATAAATAAAAAAGAAAAGAAAAGAAAATATTGATTTGCATTACAACAAACAAACAAACAAACAAGCAAATAAAAACTAAAAACGCCAGCGGAATCGCTCATTAGGCATAAAGGCACTTCCTTTTTCTCTTTTTTCAACTGTGAGAAACAGGGGAGAAAGTGCGAAAGCTGTAACCTTTCTCCTCTCTGTGGATCCCCCCTGCTAAATCTCTTTTGGGGAGAGAGAGAATCATGTTCAAATTGCACAGGCACAGGTCTGAGAGATTGGGGGAGAGGGTTGAGTTCAGATTCTCCAGCTTACAGGCGTTTCAGGTGATTCGTTTATTCATTTTTAGAGATCTTTTTTGGTGTTTTATGTGGATTTTAGGGATGCCTATTTGGATTTAGTTGAGATTTTTGATTGCCCATTTTGGCTTTATGTCAAAATTGTGCCTTGAATTGGATTAATTGGATTGGCTGTAGTTCCCTATTGTGGGAATTTAGTTTGATTGTTCCTTTTGTACTATGAGCAATTTGTATATTGAGTTGAAGGAAATTAATGAGCTTTTGTTTGCATTTCCATGAATTATAAGCTCTGGGTATTACTCACTTGAGCTGTAGTGGATTTTAAAGTGAGTGAAGCTAATTCTCATCTTTGCTCTCTAGATTTACTTTTAGAGTGCGTGAGCTCTCTCTGTCATTTTTTACTTGATGATGATCTTATTCTCCCTAAATGGGACTGGTATAGATGAGGAACGCTCAGTTGCTTAATATTAAAGAATCTTATTTCTCATGACCCGCATCTAAATTAAGCCCAGCAATCATGATAGCTTCAAGTCTATTAGTTATTGGCCGTTGATAGCTCATGGCCGTTTTGAGTCCATGATATTGTCGTTCATGTCCAGTTCATTCTTTGTAGTAAATTGAGAGTATATGTGCAAGAGGGAGAAAGGGGGAAAACATAGTACTAACTCTAGTAGTTATAACTCTAGTAGTTATAAATTACATATCTGAAAATTGCAGAAATTATCACGCGGTCTGGTCCACTGATAAAATGTTTGGGTAATAAGAGGTCTTTGGTTGAAGACCGGGATGCAAACTTTGTTCAAAAGAAAGGAATAAAGTCATCATCATTAGAATTTTGAGCCATCTGATTTCCAGGGCAATCTAATAAAGCATAAAAGGAGAAAAGATGGTTTCTGAAAATTAATCAAGTTTTATGGTATAAAGGTGTATGATAGAAGGTATTTATGTGCTAGGAAAATTGAGAGCAAGTTTCTGAGAGGGGGTAAAAATTCTGCGAGCTATTTCTGCTGATTTCGAAAGCTTATAATGAGGTCCTTAGGGAGATTACATAGCAAGTTTTAGAAAAGAACTCGACAGCTGGGGCTGGTAGTTATGTTGGTAGAATCAATGACATATCTGATGCCGTAGTTTGTGGACTGAGCATAAGTGGAGGAGGACGGATCTGTATTCCTTCATTATTATCGTCATCTTACATGAAGCATCAGCGAAACTTCTTCTTGGCAATAGTTATCATGAGCTTTAAGGAGAGATCCTATTGTGCATTATGTTGTATTCATGGATTGTGATAGGAATGGGAGAACGGGCGAGTCTAAACTCTAAAGTAGAATGTGGGAGAATCTGTTCACAAACATGGGTTTAAACGGTCATCATGATGGAATGTCAAGAAGGATGTTATTCATGTGATCGCTAAAGAATGTTTAGAGCACGTTCTATTGAAGCACATGACTGTAGAATATACATGAAGTTGAAGGAAAGTGTAAGATGTAGCCTAAATGGCGCATTGAGATGGATGAGTGAAAATATGGTAAAAGATAGAATAGGGAACAAGTATATAATGAGAGTTAGGAGTAGCATGAAATGAGCTTAAAGAAGGCCACCTTGTTTCATTTATTGAAATTTGATTCCTTGGGTTTTCAGGTCATGGGGGACATGATTAATGTCATGAATTTAAAATTTGCATGTGTTATCAAATGAGTTTCATTATATTATTATAATAATGCAACGAGAAGCATTTTGTATAAAATGCATACAATATTCAATATTGTACATCGGTTGTACACTCAAGTGGGGAAGTATGGATACACGATGTAGTGACATGATCAAGGTATTACATTTCGCACTAGAAATTCTATTCTTCAGTCATGATTACTAACTTCTGGACAGGACAGACACTGTGGTAATGATGAATCTATTTCTAGTTGTCCTTGCTCGATGCAAGATTCAAACAGAAACAATGGAGAAATGAATCAACTCCTGTATCAATCTCTTAAAAATAATTCAACTCCTTTGTGAAGCGTCTTTCTGGTCTTACCCCTTTCCAATACCTGAAGCCAGTAAAATCAATGAGAAATGGAGATAACTGAAGAATTGGGAGGAAAATATTTACAAAAAGCACAACGAACTTAAGATTGAGGACCTGGACCCCTATTTATAGGGTGAGGAATACCTGTGAATTAGTTAAAGTCAAAATGGCATGTTAACAAATGTCTCGAAGAGAAGAAATTCGTTATGTCTCCCACAGTATTATCTCACCACCATAAATTCAGATGTGTGTTCAATCACAGATATTTATGTCATTAGTTAAGCTTCATTATTGTCAATTTCATGATACTATTAACTTCGAGACATCAGTTTTGAATGGTACACATAGTCTATAACCATGGAAAATTTTCACAAGTCTAGACTACTGGTACACACCGGTTAATCTCCTAACAAGGCTATAGCTCCATATGATAAAAGAAAAGAACAAGACCGAGCGCTTTAAGCTCTTAATAATTACTTGATAATTTTTCTTCCTCAGTCTTGTTTTTAACAGTCTCAAGCTTATATGTAGATATTAGAGTTGCACTCATCATGTAGAGATTTATAGGCTCATGTTAGTTTCAGTTTATGCTTATAAGCACAACAACTTCCTTCATGAGATACTTAAAAGTCAACAAATAGAATTCTATCTTTAAGATTTCTCATGCCATGTAGCGTAATAAACTTCTATTTCATTGGCACTCAATGTTGTTTATATCTCCTTTTCATTTGTTCGCTCCATTTCTTGGCTAGTGTTTATAGCGTATACATGTGTCGTAGCTGCTAAAACTTTTGTTGATGGTTATATAGATTCCTAAAGGATGGGACAGGCTTGTTTTGTCTATTATCTCTGCGGAGACTGGAAAAACAACTGCGAAGTCCAGCAAAGCAACGGTTCGCAGTGGAACTTGTCAATGGACAGAGATCTTCTCAGAATCCATTTGCATTCCGCAAAATGGTGGATCAAAGGATATTGAAGATTGTGTGTTTAAAGTAGTAGTTTCCATGGTATAACACCTTTTTGTAATTGTTTGAACCAAGTTCCTCTGCCTCTTAACATTCTTTCATTTTCAGTTGATCCTTGTTGGTTTGGTTATGAACTTTCTGATAGATAAAATGCTGCAGGGATCACATCGATCAGGTATCTTGGGAGAGCTTACTATAAACTTAACAGATTATATGAGTTCACGTGACTCTGGTTCACTTTCTTTGCCATTAAAAAAGTGCAACTATGGGACAATTCTGCAGGTGAATATTTGTGCCTCTATGAATTTAATTCTTCGCTACATAGTATGTACTAGACACTACATGCTTATCCTGATTTAACTGGTTTATACCTTGTTCTTGTTGTTGTTTATGCTGAACCCGTAAGTTTTCAATAGGCGTCTTTGTTGTTGTTGCTGTTGTTTATGCTTCTACTGGTTCTATGTGCAACATATCTCTTGTTTTAAAATGCTTCACTTGTCCGGGGTATATGTATTAAATCCTTCCATGTGTACTTTTACAAAAATGGCCCGTTCTTGTAAGAGATGTTTTTACTTGAGCATCAAATTATATTTTAATTTTATGATTTAAAAGCAACTATTTTAGTTTTCCTGTACATTTCTTTTTTACATTTTGGGTTCACGACATCACTAATTTCCTTCTAATGTAAACTCTAGACCACTAAGAAAATGCAGCTATACATTCACATCCATTCAAGGGATTGTCTGAAATTATTCTAATGGAAAATGCCCTTTTTCTCTGAGCAGATCAGGATTCAGTGCCTCAACCCAAAAAGAGGATTCAGGTAACTTCTATTACTCTGGTAAGTCAGGATCGTAATACTCTTCTCTCATTTTTTTCATCATTATTCATTTTATGTGCAGAGATGTAAGCCGTGTTAAAGAAACAACTTACCATCTTCAAGGTCTTCATACTGATAATGATGCGGTGCAAAGCAAATCAGATGGATCTGATATGCTTAACAAGAGTTTGGGATCTTTGGCTCCAGAAGAACCTATACAGCAGGTTTGTTTTCTTGCACCATACTAACATCTGCAATAAAATTACGGATTACTACCTCATCCATATAATGATCCTTATTTTACTAAAAATTACTTAATTTCTCATGCTACTTCTACACGCTATCATTTATACAAATTCTATAATGTTATATATGCTTGTCAACCAACATTATTTCCGTTCTTATATGCTCTTCCTTAGACTAATTATTACTGTTTGAAATCAATGTGGATAAAAAACTCAATAGCCCTGATGAATATTTGGCTTTAAATGGCTCCAAATTTGTGGGTGTCTTTTACTGACTATTTCATTTCCTTTTCACTTAATTATATGTTAAAAAAGTCGCTCCATTTTGTCCTGCTTATTTAAAAGTGGATTTTTAATTTCTGCAGGACACAAGTTTCTCAGCTTCAGGGTCACATCGTAGTTCCGACTCTGGAGACAGTTCTATTGGCAGACTGAATTTTTCTCCCAGAAACAATGTAAATGGTGGATCATATATGGGACGGCAAGATTCAGCTGATTCTCATATTAGCGCAGCATCGAGTGTTGGTCCCGCCGATGAATTTTCTCGATCAAACCCATCGTCGTTCAATTCTAGGGCCTCAGGCTCATCAACTCCAAATCGGTGGCAAAGTGATCTTGCCCCGATTTCTCTAAACCCATCTGGTTCATCTAAAGAGCTTCTTGAAGCCGCTGAAGAAACAATCGAAGAGCTTCAGGATGAGGCGAAAATGTGGGAGAGACATGCTCAGAAATTGAAACTAGATATTGAGAAACTAAAGAAGGAATGTTCAGAAAAATCTAAACGGCAGGCTGAGCTTGATATCGAGCTTTCTGCTGCTTACTCTGAACGCGATTCTCTGAAGCATGAGGTTAAACAACTTAAATCATCTTTAGACGATGTGACGACAAAACAAAGTTCTGCTATATTATCTAAAAATGAAGTTACTTTACGGGTTCAGAAGGAATTAGAGGACGAGGTGAAGTTTCTGAAAGAATCCAATGCTAGTCTAAGTATTCAACTGAAGAAAAGTCAAGAAGCAAACCTTGAGCTTGTTGCTATTCTCGAGGAACTAGAAGAGACTGTAGAGAAGCAGAGACTGGAGATGGCCAATCTTCCACAACAAAGTTTGGGTAGTGGACATGATGGTGAAAATTGGAGTAAAAAACTGATGGATGTTGAAGCAGAGTGGGCAGCTAAGTTATCTTCAAAAGAGGAAGAAATCAGAGTTTTAGAGGAGAAGCTTTCTGGTTTGCTTAATGCTGAATCCAATGTTAGTCTAAGTATTCAACTGAAGAAAAGTCAAGAAGCAAACCTTGAGCTTGTTGCTATTCTCGAGGAACTAGAAGAGACTGTAGAGAAGCAGAGACTGGAGATGGCCAATCTTCCACAACAAAGTTTGGGTAGTGGACATGATGGTGAAAATTGGAGTAAAAAACTGATGGATGTTGAAGCAGAGTGGGCAGCTAAGTTATCTTCAAAAGAGGAAGAAATCAGAGTTTTAGAGGAGAAGCTTTCTGGTTTGCTTATTGCTGAATGTCCTAATGAAATGGAATGGAGTCGTGGTGATCCTGATTTGATAAAAGAAATTGATGATTTGAGGGGTAAATTGCAGGAGCTGGAAAGAGATTGTGCTGAACTTACCGAAGAGAACCTAGAACTCATATTTAAGCTGAAGGAATTTGGTAAAGGCATCAAAGGAGAAAACTATCCTAATAATTCTGACTCTGAAATTGATTCTCTTAAATCACAAGTTCATATGCTAGAAGAGGAACTTAGAACAAAGGAAATGCTTAATGGAGGTCTGACAGAATCAACAAAAATCCAGATGAGAAGCCTTGAAAAGAAATGTGCCGATCTTGAAGTTGAACTGCAAAACTTTAAAGATCAAGCTTGTCATCTTGATATCAAACTTCGTGAAAGCCAGTGGGAAGTAAAAGGAAAAATATCAGAGCTATCTGAGATGCAACAAAAATTTGAAAGTTTCCAACATAAAGATAATAATACAGGAAATGAATCAAACTTGGAGGATCTCATTTCACTGAAAGAAAAGGAGATTGATGAGCTTAGACATGATAAAGAGGAATTAGAAGTTCTGATTACTAATATACAACAAGACAGAAGTCAGCTGGAGGAAAATCTGGCTAGTGCACTGAGAGAAAGCAGTATAACCTCTCAATGCTTTGAAGATGTGCAACATGAGATGAAACTTCTTGCTAGCAGTGTGGATTCTCATAATTCAACTAATAAGATGCTTGAAAGGAAAGCAATGGAATTGGAAAGCAGCAAAAATGAACTTGAGAAACAAGTATCTGAGTTAGAGGAAGAAAATGTACAGTTATCTGAGCGCATATCAGGATTAGAACCCCAGTTGAAGTACCTGACAGATGAATTAGAAGATTCTAGATGTATTGTAGAAGATCTTAAGGCTGAAGTTGCAAAACTGCAAGGTGAAATCGGAACACGAGAAGGGGAACTAAACCAAAAGCTGCAAGACGTACAGAAAGGGTTGTCAGAAAAAGAAGAGGAGACTGAGCATCTAAAGAGATTGCATTTGAAGTTACAGTCAACACTAGACAGTCTTACTGAAGAAAACACTTCACTTCAGAAATCAAATGGAGATTTACAGAAACAGAAATTGGATTTGCATGAACGAGGTGCACGTCTAGAAGTTGAATTGAACAAATCACAGGAGAAGACTTCTGAGTTTTTGGAGACGGTTGAACATTTAGAGTTAAAACTATCTTTGATGCAAAATGACGTTGTTTCTAAGGAAAAAACACTAACTTCACAGTTAGAGAGCATCTTCGAAGATCGCGAGAATCAAGAAGAGAAAATTAGCCAGGCAAAAATCATGCTAAATCAGATAGATTCACAAAAAACAGTTGAACTTGAGACTCTTAAGGGGGAGATCTCACACCTCTCTTCACAATTATGTGCTACTCAAGATGAACGACAGATGATGGCATCGGATGCTGTATTAGAGGTTTCTGGTCTGCGCTCAGATAAAATTAAACTTGAGAGCAGTCTACAAGAAGCCTTAGCTAAGATTAAACAATATGAAACTGAGCTTCAATCTCTCAAACAGGAGTCTGGAAAGAAGCTTCAAGGGTTAGTCGACCTGCTAAATGCTTCTAAACAGAGCGAGGAAACTTTGATGTCTGACATTGAGCACATTCAGAGACAAGCTGAGGCTGCAAAATCTGGCGAAGAAAAGTTTAAAAAAGTGGCAATTGAACTAGAGTTGAAGTTAAAAGCTTCTGATTATGAAAAACAGCAAATCATGGAAGAAATTTCTAGCTTAAAGGTACAAGTACAAAAGGTCAGTCATCTTCAAGATGAAATTTTGGTTCTCAAGAGCTTCCTTGAAGAGTCAAAGTCTGAGAAAGGAAAATTGGAAGGATTGTTACGGTCAGTATCTGAGGAATGTGAAGGACTGAAAATGGAGAAAATATCTTTCATGGAGAAAATTTCAAATATGCAGAAGGCTTTAATTGCTTTGGAAGAAAAACTACTCAGGCTGGAGGGTAAGTTGAGTGCAAAAGAGGCAACTGAGGTTCATGTTGAAGAGTTGAAACATGAAATTAACTATATGAAGGAAGAAAATAGCGAATATCAGAGGAAGATACAATGTCTGGAGGAGGAAAAATCTGAACTAGTGATAAAAGTTAAGGTTATGGAGGATGAATTATACCAGGATAAGATGGCTCTTGACAAGGTGAGCATAACGCATTCTGAATCAACGCATATCCTGTTCACTGTCATTATTTCCAAAAAAGATATTCAAAATTTCACAATTATATTGAAAATTCAAAGTTCAATAAAGATTTCGTTTTAATCTTGTTTTGGATTTGATTTTTCTGATTTGATGTTGTTTTCTCATCCCAGGGTGAAGAAAAGCTGCATGATCTTGAAGCTACAATTCGAGACCTGGAGGCTAAAGTTAAGTCACTTGAAAATGAACTGACTGAATCGATGGAAACAAATAACATGTACAAGATTCAACTTCAAGGGTACGCCACTTCCCAAAATAATGATGCAGATAAACATGTTTATATTTCATGTTATGCTTATTTTTTGGATGTATACCATTTATGTGCATGCCCTCAAATCTTTTTTTTATAGATTCTATTTAGGTCAGTTAATATATTAATCTATCTAGAGTTTAGCTTCTATTCTACGCAAATTAAGGGTAACATAAGGAGCATTTTCTTAATGTCTTGTTTCTAAGGGTTTTTTGCTGTATAGCCAATTATATATCGCCATAACTATTTTATTGAAACATGTATTCCTTGAACATTAAACGACATTATTTCCCCAATTAGGCTGAGACATCACTTGCTAAGCACATGATAATATAAATTACCTTTTGTCTTCAGGTTAATTGGAAAAACAAAAAGACTAAATTTCCTTCTAAATTCAAGGTAAAAAATAACACCGTCTAAATTGGCTACACCCCTATAGTACAAGGGGGTGTATATGCAATTAACCCTACTTATTCCTTTCATGGCATATGCTTATATGATTCCTGAAATATATGTATATAAGATTACTAAACTCATAGAAGGTACGTAACTGTCCCATTCCAAATTATTCTTTAGATTAATGTCGGAAAAGCAAAGCAACAACAGTAAAGCTCCAAAGATTGTTTCGATGGAAGCAGAGTTGAAAGAAATGAAAGAACGTTTCTTGCATATGAGCCTTCAGTACGCCGAAGTAGAAGCTCAGAGGCAAGAGCTGGTACTAAAGCTCAAAACTACCACAGCAAAAGGAAAGACTTGGTTCTCTTGATGAGCATTAGAAGGCATTTAAGTACTGGTCATGACTCTCACTGGCCTGCAAGTCATTCTTCACATTCTTTCATTTTGATATTTATCGGTATGTACATGTTATTTTTCCATTATTTATGCCAAGGGATGGTATTTCTATCCTTCAGCGATCTTGTAATGAACTGTTGAGATGGACGCAGTTTTCTTTCTGCCCATTGAGAAAGTACAATAAGCAACTTGTATCTAGTTACTTAATAATTCATCCTGTTGTTGATCGAGAAGGCTGCTATAAAAATAAGCATTCCTTAAATTTTTTTCAATTGATGGGTTCTAACAGATGAATGTATTTCAACTGGTTATTTGGTAGGTGATCTTATATAAGTTATTATTTGGTTGATGATAGCCTATGTAAATTGTAAACTGTAAATACACTGCCAGTTCAATGGGATTTTGGATCAAAACTTTTAATGGCTTTCCTTGCTTTCAGACTACTTGTATCCGTATCATGCCGAACTGTTAGATTTGTTCACAATGCAGTCTATTTGGTTGCTAATAGATTTGTGAAAATTTTGAATTGGGTTCTCACAACAAAGTTCAGTTTAGACCTCAACCCGCCTGTGAAAGCTCCAACGCTTTGGGTTTTATTGAGGACCATAGCTTTGGGACTTTTACCATGTGCTTGTAAATTATAGCTGCTATGAGAAAATCTTAAGATTCTTTATAGATTCCTCTATATTTGGAGGAAAGGGACACATTTGTCATTTCTATTCAGAAGTAAAGAATATTCTATTTTGTTTCTTGAGCAGTGTAATTGAGAGATTAAAACTGATTGAGTCTTTAGTTTAGTTTTGGAGTAAATTGACAAATAGGACTGTTTGAAGTGTAATTTTTGAAGTACGGAAAGTTTAGAAGTAAATATGTAGAAAGCACCTTTTTTCTCTTTTGAGAAAAAAGAGAAAAAGAAAACGAAAAGATTTTGGATCTTCTCCTTTTCGTTGTTTGATTGATGATATGGTTGCTAAACTACGAGCTTCACTTATTCTAACTTTTCATTTTAAGATCAGAATCCACGGTACTTGTGATAACATTTTTGAATTTAGACGCTACTCCATGTGAAGCATCTATTCTATATTCTTATGAGAAGTCAATTGCTGAATAGGATTGGATCCGAGACAAATTAAGAATATGTAATACATTAATCTTATATCTTAATAAAAATGAGAGAGAAATCACAGCTGTTACTAATAAACATGTAGAGATAAGTCATCCTCTGATCTCTACACAAAGCTCAAATCTCTTCTCATAGTCTCCAGTTGCCACCAATCAAAACCAATCCATCACCTGACAATCACCACCTCTCGTTCCGCATCCTCAGATTCCAGATCTGATACCAATTGTTAGACCCTAGAGGGGGGGTGATTAGGGTCTTATGCTAATCTAATCCGATTTTATGCCAATTAAAATAATTAATAAGTTATCCTAGCAAGTATGAAATATAACAACTATATATAAGCTAGGATAAGCAATATAAACAACAAAGAGATATATCCTATATGATAGAAATATATGCAAGGATATATAAACAATAAGATATATCCTAACAAAGAGATATAGATAATGTATGAGCAAGGATATAAGACTAACACAAGGGGTAGACAATTTAACTACAAATGTGATAGGGCAAAATGATCAACAAGCAATACACAATGGCGATGTAAGATATGAACATGAAAACAAGTGCGCCAAAGCAATCACAAACAAAGGATATGTTTACGAGGTTCGGTCCCCACGACCTACGTCCCCGCTCCTCACCTCGAGGAGATACTCCACTATCACAACCGGGTTTTCTACGTTCATCCGAATAACGTTTACACCTCACAATACAATCACTATACAATCATACCTCACACACTAAGTGTTGGTCCTAGCCCGTGTCCTCCTCCTAAAGTGCTCGGTTACAACCTCTCCCTACATCTTTCTTCTGTTACCGTCTTCGGTTAAAATTTCGACGTTGGCCTTGCGTCGAATGCCTTGGCTAGGTACGTCGGTGATGGAGTTTGCATGTTTCATTATCTTCTGGTTAGCGCAATTGGCGATAATTCTACGAGGGATGGACGGAGTAAGAGAGCTCGAGAAGTACTCGGCGCCGATACTCATCGTCCTCACCTCCTGCCTCGCCTCCTGGGCTTATGTCAAAGCCGGAGGATTCGGACGAATGCTGTCGTTGACTTCCAAGCTCTCATCGCCATCGCAGTTCTTTACAGTATTCTTCCCTTCGCTCACGGCGAACATAAGCTTTTGGGCTACTGTGGCTCTCAACATACCGGATTTCACCCGATACGCACGGAGCCAGAAGGACCAAATCCTCGGCCAAATTGGCCTCCCCATCTTCATGGGCTTGTTCACCTTCGTCGGACTCGCCGTAACTTCCTCCACCGAAACCATCTTTGGTCGA